CACCCATGGGTCACATTCCTCTTTGGAGAGGGGCACCCCCCCCAGGCCTCCTGGGGGTGAACCCTGCCTGGGCCCCCTCCAGCCAAGGTGCTTCTGCAGTAGCCTAACAAAGATCTTTCTCTGCCTTTTTAATTACTCCCAGTGCAATTGGCCAGCCCAGCTCAGAAGTAAAAATGTTACATTTACCCTCCTCCCTGGAACAGGGCTGTGGTTGGGCTTAAATTGGGGAGAGCCCCTTCTTTATCCCAGTACGTCCCAGCTGAGAAACCCTCACCCAGCTTCCAGGACTTACCTTTCTTTCTCTTCCCTGTGTCATTAGATAGCAGGCTTGATGGGCTGAGGGCTTTTCTGAAAAAGAGCTTAGAATTTCCAGGAAAACTGCAGCATTTTTCACAGTTTGACCATCAGGCCAATGGTGGGTGGCTCTGGAGGGATCAGAGAGCCACTCAGAAGTGCCCAGAAGGGACTGACCCTGCAGGTCCCCAGTGAGTGTCCCCATTCTGCTCCTTCCTTCCCCAGATGGGGACATGAAATGCTTCACGCTAGTTAAAAAGACCCCCTTTCCCTGTGGTTAAGCACATGGCACTTTATGGCTGCTTTAAAATGAAGGGGTGAAAACTTCTCTTAACTTTGGCAGCATTGAAAACTAGGGCCATTATTTTTTCACAGATCCCAAGGTAGGTGCCAGGAACATTCTGGTCAGAGATTTCACCCTTCTGTATTTTGGGGTGAGGAGAGAGGAAGATTATCACAAAGTAAAATATCCAGGACTGAAAGGAGCCTTAGAACCCTCTGGCTGCACACCCTAATTTGAAAGATTGGGAAACTGAGGCCTAGAGAAACTTCATGGCTGTGGAAGAAAATTAATGGAGTGAGATATAAGCCAGGCGCCCTAAAAAAATTAAACTCATCATGCCTCACAGTTTAGGGATGAAGGGCTGTAGGTTCTGGAACTAGGCTAAAATCCAGTTCTGTCTGTACCTTTCTGTTTCTGAGCCTCAGTTTCCACATTTCCACATCTGTTAAGTGGCCGTGGCATTAACTATCTCTTGAAGTTATCTTGAGCACTAACGGGGATCAGATAGTAGGTTGAACCATATGAAATACCAATACATGACTATTTCTTACCTACAAAATAACAGTTTCCTATGGTTCAATCGAAGGCCTTTGTTTAGTGTTGGCCAGTAGCAGTAAAGTGCTTGATAAATGATAATTACTAAACATTAGGAACTAAAAGACATAGAGAAGTCAAAGATTTTCTAGACAATTCCAGCTAAACTATCTCCTCAGATTTGATGCCAAACATTTGATGGTGTCAGGGAAGGACTGGACTCTGCAGATTTTTGCCTGTGCTGCCCTGTGGGGTCTCATAATTGCTCCAGAGGGAGTGTGGCCTCTCCTTTCTCAGGTCACCCATTGCTGTGGTTTCCGAAGTGTGGCTGGGCTCTCTCTCCCCACAGTGGCCCACCCAAGGCCATGCGATGGGCATGTCAACTCTGCTCTCTCTGGGAGCCCAGAAGTCCTTGATCCTGTGCTCATCAGAGCACACACCTTTACTCTCTGCATATAGTGGCTCAGTGCCTCAAACCGGACATGCCTCCAGGACAGAGTGGCTGCCGCTCTGGGCCCCATTCTGCCCATATTTGGTGCTTTCACCCATCTTTGGAGATTCCTTACACTTCTCTCACGTAGAGAAGTCATCAGGGGCTTAGCAGCCAGGAGAACAGGTCAAGGGATTTCCAAGTGGAGAGATGGAATTTTGCAGAGCTGGAAAATCACCTTTAATATTATAATTTCACTTAACATCTGCATTTTTAAATATTGAGAGCCCCCCTGCCCCATAAGTTTTATAATTCAAGCAGTGAGCTGAGCTTGTATCCTGGAGGATGAAGTTACATAGAAGATGGTTTTTCTCCAGGATAGTGGAGGTGGGGAAGGAAGTTGGACACTGTGCCAGGAAATCATATTAGCATCTCCTCAGGACATAGCTTTTTATTTTCCTCGTAGGGGAGTGGAGGTTAAATATGTTTGCAAAACCCTTCCTCACACCAGCTGAGTGCCTGAAACTCTTTATGCCAAGGGAATACACCTTGGCCCCCTTTTTGAGAAAGCCCCTTATGAATCCCTGAAGGAAGAACGTGGCTGTTCTGGGTGGAAGCAGCCTTCTAACTCACTCCAGCCTCCCAGGTTCCTGCCAACAGCACTGGGACTCTGGAGGGTCACTGGTACAGGAACTGTGGGCCCTCAGGACTATAAATAGGCAGCCGCCACCTCCCAGACTGCTGGGCATAGTGCTGTTGGGCCACACCTGAGGTCAAGGTGATTGGGAAGGGCCCAGACACCATGCCCTTGTCACCCTGGAGAAAGACCAGATTTACTGATTACATACTGCGTGCTAAGTACTTTCCATGCATCCTCTAATTGAAATTATCTTTCCAACAGTTCTGGGAGGTTGGTGTCACAGTCCCCTACACAGATGGAGAATGGAGGTTCAGAAAGGGGAAGCCAGTTGCCTGAAGTCAGGGAAAGAGTCAGGACGGAGTCCATGTCCGCCTGGGTCCAGGGTGGGTGCTCTTAGCCAGGGCGGTGGAGGTAGAGCGTAGGGAGTGTTCAGGAAGCAGGAGGGAGAAGACCTGAGATCCAGACCCAGTTCTCCCACATTCTAGCTGTGTGACCTGTGCAGGCCACTTGCCTTCCCTGTGCCACCATGCCACCGTGCCACCGTCTAGTTCAGCCCATGTTATAACACTGCCGGGAGGGTTAAATGAAATAAAAGAACGTAAAGGTCCTTAATACAGTGCCTGGCACACAGCAGTAATAGCCATAGTGAGTAAAGATCTGAACCCTGATCCTACCTGAGCTGGACCCCTTCCAGCCCTGCTACTTACCAGCAGGGTTCCCATAGGCAAGTCACTGAACGTGAGCTTGGAGCCCAACTGCCTGGGTTCAAATCCTGGTACCCCTGCTTCCCAGTAGTTGGGTAAGTAACTCCCCTCTCTGGGCCTCATTTTTCTTCTCTGTGAAATGGGAATAACAACAGCACTTCCCCCATAAGCTGGTCGTGAGGGTTCATCCAGGTGGTGCAGGTAAGGAAAGGTGCACAACCTCTGCGATGAGTGTTCAAGCCGCCTTAGTTGCTGCTGCTGTTTCCCTGCAAAACAGAAGCAACTGGAACATTTTTTTTCCCCTGTTCCTATTCAAACACTGTGGTGGTTTATTATGACGATGTGTAATAACGAGGGGCTAAGAACGTATTTATTTTGTAGACTTTTTAAAGAAAGCAACACAGACCTTGGTCGTGGAGCCCAGCCCCCGGTTTAGCTGGGGAACAGGGCTCCTTCCGGAAGGCGGAGGGGAGCTTTGCTCACATAGCCCAGCCTGAGCCTGGGCCCCTCCACGAGCGTGCAGACTGACTGTCCCATCTCCCCACAGACAGTGTACAACCTGGCCGACGTGGCCTGCAAGTGCCACGGGGTGTCGGGCTCGTGCAGCCTGAAGACGTGCTGGCTGCAGCTGGCCGACTTCCGCAAGGTTGGCGACGCCCTGAAGGAGAAGTACGACAGCGCGGCGGCCATGCGGCTCAACGGGCGCGGCAAGCTGGTGCAGGTCAACAGCCGCTTCAACTCGCCCACCACGCAGGACCTGGTCTACATCGACCCCAGCCCCGACTACTGCGTGCGCAACGAGAGCACGGGCTCGCTGGGCACGCAGGGCCGCCTGTGCAACAAGACGTCCGAGGGCATGGACGGCTGCGAGCTCATGTGCTGCGGCCGCGGCTACGACCAGTTCAAGACCGTGCAGACGGAGCGCTGCCACTGCAAGTTCCACTGGTGCTGCTACGTCAAGTGCAAGAAGTGCACGGAGATCGTGGACCAGTTCGTGTGCAAATAGTGGGCGCCCAGCCGCCCGCCTGTCACCCAGCCCCGTTCCCAGGACCCACTTATTTATAGAAAGTACAGTGATTCTGTTTTTTTTTTTTAATGTTTTATTTTCCCCCAAGAATTGCAGCCGGAACCATTTTTTTTTTTTTTTTCTGTTCCCATCTAAGAACTCTGTGGTTTATTATTAATATTATAATTATTATTTGGCAATAATGGGGGGTGGGAACCAAGAAAATATTTATTTTGTGGATCTTTGAAAAGGTAAGACAAGACTTCTTTTGATGGTATAGGATGAGGGGGAATAGCACAGACCCTGACTTAGTTGTGTGCACATCTAGAGGGTTTTCTTTTTCTCAGTGTGGGGTCACATAGGACAGGAGCATCCAGCTGGAAGAGGGTGGTCCAAATCTATGCTCCATTCAGCCTCCGCGACCAAAATGAATTGCAAATGCTCTGGTGAAAGGTCTTGAGAAACAAACAAACAAAAATGAGACCCCCTCCCCCCCCTTTTCCAGGGGCTACCAGTCTGAAACATTTTCAAAATGGTAATTTAAAATGTAAGAGGGAGAATCCTGTATCTCTCAGAAAGTTATTTCATGTGTCTCGTGATTCTCAAACATTCCATGTGCAGATGGTCCTACTCTAACAGCTACTGAAACTTGAGGAGCAGGGAGCAAAGTCTCAGAAGTTAAAAAAACGTAAAAACTACCATATTAAGACTGATTGGAAGCTGTTACAGGAATTAGGTTATCAGATTGGGGAAAGCATCTCCGAATGACTCTGGGTTGTAGACTTTTTGTTTGGAGAGGGGCGGGAGAGGTTGGCTTGGATATAAAGGAAAATATACTGTAATTTTCTTAGGGATACTTGGTTAATAAATGATAATAATCGAAATAATAAATGGATTCCATTCACAGACCCTCCGCCCAAACAACAAGGTAATTGCATGCAGCTCAGCTCTGCAACGGAGCAGAAAACCTGTTTGCAGGGAAGGCGTGAAACCTGCCCTCCCGCTTGACCCCAAACCCTGTCTGATTCCTCCTGGTCCTGTCCCACTGAGGAGGTGAGGCTGGCCACCTCCACTGGGAGGGCCACTGGGTCCCCTTTGATTGCAGGAGAGGAAATGAACCTTTAGGAGCTCCCCTTGGAAAACAGATACTTAGGGATTTTTTCCCCCTAGAACTTTTATTCTGAGGAGTTGTAGTTTTTATATGTTTTAATGACATTACTTGGCTAATGGAGTTCACAGAGGTGTTGCAACGTTTCATCATATGATCCTGTGTTTAGACTCTCCACTCAAGCTTTTCCTATTATACTGCAGGTGAACCCTAAAACTGTTCCTAGTGTACTTGAACAGTTGCATTTATAAGGGGGGGGAATGTGGTTGAATGGTGCCTGATATCTCAAAGTCTTTTGTACATAACATATATATATATACATATATATATAAATATAAATATTATTATATCTCAGTGCAGTCAGTGATCTAGAATTACATTTTACTCTGGGGTTATTTCTTGGTCTAGAGCGTTGCCCTTCATTGAGATCCATTGGGATTTTTCCAAAGGGTTTTCGAGTTGAGCTTGGGCTGTGGCCCTGATGTGATGCTCCCTTGAGCATCAGAAAACAGCCTCGTTTTTGAGGAATCTGGAAGGTCTTCCTCCCTGAGATGCATGTTGGTTTGAAGATTTCTTTTATCTTTTCCACCCCACCCCCTTTTCTCCAGCCTCCATTTCTGTACATTTTTCCTGAGAGGGCATTACTTGTTGGTAATAGACTTGGAAATGAAGAGAGATTCAAAACTCAGAAGCATGGTCAATGCTTCTCTCTCCTTAGTTCCTTGTGCAGAGTGGAAACTGGTGCCTGGTAGATCTAGTAGTACCCGAAGGAAAATCCAGTTCATGACATAGACAGCTAGTTTTAAAATTTTTTAAAACAGGACACCTCTTTCCAAAAAGTGCCATCAAACATCTTCTTATCTCAGACTTACATGATTTTAGAAGTTTGGAAAGATACACACCTTCTGCAGCCTTCATAGGCTTGGTGGCCTTCCCATCACCTCAGCCATCTGTGGCTCTTAATTTATTGCACAAGGATACTCACTTCCCCTCAGTTGCAGTGAGTTGCAAGCAAAAGATCTTGAAATTAAAAAGCACTAATTAGTTTAAAATGTCACTTTTTTGGTTTTTATTATACAAAAACCATGAAGTAAGTTTTTATTTGCTAAATCAGATTTTTGTTCCTTTTTAGTGATTCATGTTTATGAAGAGAGTTGAGTTTAACAATCCTAGTTTTAAAAAGAAACTATTTAATGTAAAATATTCTACTTGTCATTCAGATATTATGTATATCTTCTATGGCCTTTATTCTGTACTTTTAATGTACATATTTCTGTCTTGCCTGATTTGTATATTTCACTGGTTTAAAAAACAAACATCAGAAGGCTTATGCCAAATGGAAGATAGAATATAAAATAAAACGCTACTTGTATATTGGTAAGTGATTTCAATTGTCATTCAGATAATTCATGTGGAGATTTTTGGAGAAGCCGTGAGGGAGAGTGTAGGGTGACTACATGTCAGAATAACAGAAGAGGAGAATTTTTACCAAAATACCAAACTATTCGGAAGTTTCGAAAGATTTCTATATGTAACAGAACAAAAGGGAGATTCTCTCTTCCTATATATGTTCCTTAAAAACCCAAGCAGATGGCTCAAAGCTGGTTATAGGATCGCTCGCATTTTTTCAGCATTATGCATGTAACTTAATTGTTTTAGAGCGTGTTGCTGTTGTAACATCTCAGAGAAGAACTGAAAAGGCACATGCTTGTATCCATGACCAGAGTTTTAGCCCAAAAAAGTGTGTGTGTGTTTACCACTGCAACTCTTGCACCTCTGAAGTTACTGTGGACTTGAGTGTCTCTGTTCCCCTTTGAAAGTCATTTCGTGAAAAGCAAGCTTCTATCTGCAGAGAATGAAAACTCATTGGAAACTGAAGGCTCGTTGTGTTAAGTGCAATTAATACGGGTTCTCGTGCTTTCCGAAAGTGTACACCGAAATCTGGCCAGCGCTGCCCAGATTGATACGTTAGCCCTTTGCTTTTTTTTTTCTTTCTGGATAACCTTGTAACATATTGAAACCTTTTAAGGATGCCAAGAATGCATTATTCCACAAAAAAACAGTAGACCAACATATAGGGTGTTTAAAATAGCATTTCTGGGCAAATTCAAACGCTTGTGGTTCTAGGACTCACATCTGTTTCAGTTTTTCCTCAGTTGTATATTGACCAGTGTTCTTTATTGCAAAAACATATACTTGATTTAGGAGTGTCAGCATATTTTTTCCTTTGCATCCTGGAATGCATTCAAGATCTTCCCAATACAGGAAAATTAACAAAAAAATTTATACATAGGAAACGGCAGTCAGAGCCATGTTCAAAATAGTAATTACGGATTCGAGTGAAAGGAAGACTGTTTTAAGTTTTAGTTCAGTTTATCTGCTTAGCTGCTGAACTCCTGACTATATGTTTAGTAGCCTGCCCAAACCCTTTGCTCAGATGATGCCAATACCAAGTTTCAATGTGTTTTTGCAAAACATTAGGCAAGCCACTGGAATGATCAAATATGACACTCTAGCAGGATAAGTGCTCCAAATGAGAGATCGGCACTGGCCGACTCCAAGAGATCATGAGCAAAAAGTCCCCAAAGGCTGAGTGGTTCGAATATAAGTAGAGAGGGACAGATAGAAAAGGTACTTGGAACTTGAAGCATGTATGTGATGCAAACCCACACCAAGGCATAGGTCTGAAATACTGCATTGTCACTGTAAACAGTACTTTAAGCATATTTATTTTTTTTTAGAAAGTCATTTTTAGTCTCTCCTCTCTCTGTGGAATGGTGAAAAACAGATGCCGTGTTTTGAAAGTAAGACGATGAAATGAATTTTTAAAACAGGAAACATTCAGCAACATAGGAATTACAACTTAGTAAAGGAATCTTCTAATGTACCTGTTCGTACAAACTTTACACTTCAACCTGATGATTGGATAAGATTCTATTTTAGTGAAACATCATCTTGTTAGACAACTTTAAAAAATGGATGTAGAAATGATTAAAACTTGCTTTGGTTTTTTTTTGTTTTTTTTAAAAACAAAAATGTATCAAACTGAATGGAGAAGATTTAATTAAAATGCTGTCTCAGTATTTCAAAAGCTAAAAAGGGGTGAGGAAAATTGCATCTCAGACCAGTTTTATATGCAGTGTACAATTTGCTGGGCTAGAAATGAGATAAAGATTATTTATTTTTGTTCATATCTTGTACTTTTCTATTAAAATCATTTTATGAAATCGGCAGTCATGTGTGTGTTTAGCAGAGACGGTGCCCCTGGCAATCGGAGTTTGATGCATGCGGGCACAGCGCACAATTATGGCTTAGGGCATCCAGAAGGGAACAGTCACATTTCAGGCATGTAGTTGATAATTATGGTCGAATCTCAAGGATTTATTTGTATTTAAGTGCTCATTTTCCTTTTGGCTATTGCTAATCTTTCCATTTCTTACTTGTTCTGCTACTGCTAACGTTATTATGAGTTGTGTTCGGAGATGATTATTCAGTGTAGGCATTTAGCACAGTGACACGGGATGACTAGATTCGAGGGCAAGAGAAAAAAATGATTTTAGGGGAGAAATAAAAGAATGTTTTAGATAAACAGGCCTGGAACATTCTGCTGGTGGTTCTTTCCATGTTGTCACGATTGCCAGCCAGGTGTTAGGATGAGCTTCTTAGCCTCAGCACTGTTGACATTTGGGGCGGGTAATTCTTTGTTGTGGGGGTTTTTCCTGTGCGATTTTTAGCAGCATCGCTAGTCTCTACCCACTAGATGCCAGTAGTACCAAAAATGTTTCCAGACATTGCAGAATGTGCCCAGAGTTGAGAACCGCAGCTCTGGGTGGAGGGACTGAGGTCTGTGCACTTGGGGAACAGGCTCACCACGGTGGTGGACTGTCACCTGCCTAGGTGGGCTAATAAGCCAGGGGAGGCCCTTGCAAGCTTCCCTGCGCGGGATATGGAGATGCAGCATCTTCCGCAGGGCAGGCTGGCTGAGCAATCAATAACATGGGCCCTGGAGCCAGACCGCCTGGGGTCAAATCCTGGCACTGCCACCTGCTGTGTCACCTTGGGAAAATTGTGTAGCCTCTCTGAGCATTTGTCTTTAAAACAGGAGAGAATACGACACCTACCTCCTGGGTTGTTGTAAAGATAAAATGAGTTAACATGTTTTAAGTGTTTAGAAGAGGTTCTGGTCCATAGTAAGAGCTCACTAAATGTTAGCTGGAAAGGGTAGAATCGGCCTGAAGACTGAACCCAGGAAGTGTGGGCCAGTGTTGTTTAACGCACTCAACAGTGGTTAGCTCAAGGCTAGGAGGGCCCCCTGATTGTTCAGGGAGGTTGCAAACTTGTGTCCTATCTACATCACCTTTCCAGAAGAATTTTGTTTGACTGGCAAATTATTAAAAATACTCATATTCGTTGCCAGCATTGAAAAGATCAGACTTTTACTTTCAAATTTGGGTTTCTGGCTTGAAAACTGGAAAGAGCTGGCCACTTGGATGCATGGCACCATGGGTCCCCTGTAGTGACAATCAGCCAGTCTAGGCAGAATTGACCCTTTGAGACAGGGCCGGGTATGTCTGATTAGAGAGCCATTTATGTCACCAAGCTAACCCCCAGACTCATGCACTTATGATGGTTATTAAAGATGATTTTCCTCTAAGTCAGAGTTTTGTAGCCTCACCGTTATTGACATTTTGGACGAGATAATTTGTTGTTGTGAGGCGCTGTCATGTGCATCATGGAATGTTTAGCAATAGCGCAGGCTTCTACCCACTAGATGCCAATAGCACCCTCCCATTTGTGACAACGAAATAGGTCTCCAGACATTGCCGAATGTCCCCTGGAGGGCAGAATCACCCTGGTTCAAAACTATTAGTCTAAACTAAGTGTTCTGAATTCACAATCTAGCCAATGAGGTTAAAACAAATAAATAAAAAAGATTAGCCTCTAGGTGTAAAGAAATGTCACATCACAGGAGCTTGATAAATATTTAACGAGTGAATAAAAAACATCCATTTCCCTCAGCCCCACCTTCATTCTTGAATCTTATATAACCTGAAAGGGGCTCTGAAGCCTAACAACAGTAGCAACTTAAGAGGAGGAATTAGTATTAAAAATAAATATAATAAATTCTTGGCTCTATTTCCCTAGCTAGTCTGTTCCCAGATAGCTAAATGAATATTTACACTGTTATTGAGCTGCAATTCCTAAAGAGCATCCCATCACTCACAGACCCAGGAGATGCTCAACAGAAAGGGTTTCACTGCCAAACAAGTCTGGGAAATGACAAGGGTGGGTCATCAGCGCACTGGCCGTGCTAAAGTCAAAGAGGGGCAGGAAAGAAGGCTGCTGCTTAACTCAGAGCTCGTCGAAATGCTTTGACTCCCTGGGCATTTAACACCTGATCCTGTGCTCTGGGGAAGTCGGGGAGCCCTGGCATGGAGCTCCCCTCTCTCTGGCAGGTTTGTGGGGATGTGTTCTACTGAGGTCAGGAGCTGCTTGGCTTGCCTTTTGTGGCTGCAGAGGGGACGGAGTGCTCCTTGATGACTTGTCCTGTCTAGAGAGTTGGCACAGCTCCTCTTGCTAATGAAGGGCTGCCCCTGAGTGGCAGTTAGTCCACTTTGCGGCCTGGGGGACTGGGATGGGAAAGGAGGTGCTCACCGAGGCAAGCAGGGGAGGCCTGAGATCTAAAGATGCCACAACGGAGGGAAAGAGGGAGAAAGGAAGGAAAGCCAGAAAAGGGTAGGGAGGAAAAGAGGAAAGTGTGAAGAGCAGAGACGATTAAAGGCAGAGGAATATCTAGATGACCTCTGACCATCACTTTTAGACATATCTTATTTCTATTAGTTAAAAAAAAGTGGGGTAGGCAGGTAATATTTGACAAGCATTTATTCTGTATCTGGTACTTGCCAAGGGTTTTATCTTTCACCCATTTGAGTAAGCTTTCCAAGAAGCTTCTGAGGTAATAGTGTTATCTTCAATATTATAGATGAAGAAATGGAAATTTGGAGAGCATAAGCCTCACCCAAGAGCCCATTTGTCCACCCATAATTCAGGATGTCCCCTTATCAATGTGGAATTCATACTAGAAGATGACTGCCTACCAAAGGCTGCCTGACCCAGCTCCCTTGCATCCAGGCATGGTCCCCTGACTAGTTTCTGTCACTGGGAGGTGACCGGAAGTGATGTCAGTTTTGGAGCTCGGCTTCCTGAGGGGCTGGGGTGAGTTCTCCGTTGCGTCTCTCCCTTTCACCAGTTGGCAGCAGAGGACCCTGAAGTGTTAGGGGTTGATGGAGCCATGACACAGAGGGAACATGAGTCCTCGACCTCCCACGTGCAGGAAAGCCATGAGCTGACCAGAAACTCCTCCTCTGACTGTTGTGTGACTAACTTATGAACTTCTACTGGGTCAAACCACTGACATTTTGGAGTTTGATACAGCACTTAGTTATCCTACTCAACACACTGCCTGTCCTGGCTCTTCAGTCCACTTGCCATGCTCCCATAGTCACACCCAGGGCGGTCACTGAGTTTTCACACACAATGGGGGGCCCTTGGCATAGGATGAACAGATCGGAAGGTCCCTTATAAGTCTCTTCCTCTCTGAGCCTCTAATTTTCTTTCTGTTGTGGTTGCCTTTTCTCTAGGGACCCATCCAACTCATTTATTGATTTACCATTTTTATATAGTAGGAAGAGTAGGTAATGACCACCTACTGTATTCTGGGCACTGATTTAGGTGTTGGAGTTACAGAGGTGAGCAAAGCAAACTGGATCCCTGCCTTCTGGAGTAACCAGCAGTCATGGTGATGTAGCGTCGGGGATGGATGGGGTGCCATGGGGACCCTAGAGAGGAGAGCCCAACCTGCACTTGGGGAATCATGGATACTTCCCAGAGAAAGTGATGTTTTAGCTGAACTTTTAAAGACAAGTAGAGGTTATTCAGGTTAAGTGGTGGAAGGGTGGGCAATAGCATTTAAGAAAGAGGGCACAGCTTGTGCAAAGGCCCAGAGGTAGGAGAGAATGTGGTCCATCCCCAGGAACCATGAGTCTAGAGGTCCGCTGGAAGGTGAAGATGAAGCGGAATAGTGGGGCTGAGATGGGGTGCATTGCAGTCCAGGCTGCACTCAAGAAGGGCCTAGTCACCCCCCTTAAGGGGATGGGGAGCCATGGGAAGGTATTCAGCAGAGGTGAGACATGTTCAGGACCAACATTTAATGATATTGTAGAGACACTTGCCTCCTCAATTCCTTAGTTCCTAAACCCTGAAGGCCTCCATGATCTTGAGGACATTTTGGTGTTTCTTTGCTTTGGCTGAAACCCCTACAGTCATGGGCTTCCCCCTAACTCAGGACAGCTTAAGGTCCCTGAAGCTGAGACAATTTTAGCTAGATGCCCACCTCTGCTCTACCAGCACGACTTGCTCTAAATTCTACCTCACACTCTTGTCCCAGGGCTTCATTGTATACACGCTGTCCCCAACCCACTGAAGGGCTCACCTCATGTCACTTGCTTCAGAGCCCCTAACCAGAGCTGCCAATGGTGAACCTTGATGCCAGACCTACTGCTCCATGACTCACAAGCTTCATCTCCTTTACTCTTCCTAACAAACATCAACAAGAATGTGAGCATTGTTTCCAGATGAGGACACCAAGGCTGGGAGAAATTAGGTCACTTACTTTATCAGTTGTCTATTGCTGAATAACACACCATACTCATACAGAAACCAAGCAGCTTAAAACAATAACTTTTGTAATTGCTCTGATCCTATGGGTCAACAATTTGGGCTGAGGTAGCTGAGTGGGTGGGCGGAGAGTTCTTCTGATGCTATTACTTGGGGCCTGGTAGATAGGCTAGGGCTGGGTGATCCTACATGGCCTCATTCAAAAGTCAATGATTGGTTCTGGCTATTGGCTGGGCCTTTCTCTTGATGAGGTCTCTTATCTTTCCGGACTCTTCAGTCCATGAAGGTGAGACTGGAAGCTTCAAGGCCTCTTGAGGCCTAAAGTCAGAATTTTTACTATATCACTCCCACTGCAGATTCAAAGAGGTAGAAAGGTAGGCCACCTCTCAATGAGAGGAAAGACAGTCACATTGCAAAGAGGACCTGTAAAGGGTGGGGGAAGTTGCTGCAGTATTTTTGCAAACAGCCTCTCCCATGGGTCAGGATCCCACAGGTCTGCACCTCTCCTCTCTCCTGAGACATACGTACCTCCAGGAGGAAACCCTTCTCC